CATCAAATCAATTTACATACAAGAGTATGATACTGAAAATAACTCTTCATACCATACTTAAAAATGACTCGTAGCATAGACAAGGTATCTGTTTAGGTTATTTATAACCATCGATTATAAAAATAATTAAATAAAGTAAAGATATATAGGAATATGAATGTCCTCCTGCCACGTTTTTAATTGAATAAAAGTAATAAAACCAAAAAGCAACTTTTCAGTATCACAGTCTAACCCATACCCTCTCTCTCTCACACACACATACGTATATATATGCATATTTTGAGAGAGAGAGAGAGAGAGAGAGAGAGAGAGAGAGAGAGAGAGAGAGGATCCAGAAGCAGTAAGGAGGAGAAAAAACAAGCGGACTATTTGGAATGAAGCCTTCTCCATGACTTGTTACAGTTTAGCAGTGGAATTGTGCACTGAACAACTGAGCACTGTTGCACATTATTTATAGAGCAACGCTATATAATCAAAATTTATAATTCAAATTTGTATTCCAAATGAAGGAAGATCATTGGATTAGTGGGTCCTATTTAAAAAAGTTGATGCAACCCACTTATCCAATGATCCTCATTTATTTGAAATACAAATTTGAATTATAAGTTTGAGTTAGATAATATTTTCTTTATCTATAATGGAAAAAAAAATGCTATATGTTAATAAATGCCGTTTGCAAGTGTCAACGTATTTAATGTTTTTTTTGCAAGAGCCGTTTGCAAGTGTCAACGTATTTAATTTTTTTTTTGCAAGAGTCAGCAACTCATTTAATTTCTTTTTAGCATTGAGCCAAGAGCCATTAGTATAAAGTGATCAACTCATACGTTACTATACATCCGAACAGTATCCACTCTTACTACACTGTACACACTTGTTTACAAAAAAAAAAAAACAAAAAGTAATGCTATTTGAATTTAAAATTTTGATTTAATTTATTGACATAATAACGTAATTTTATTATAATTAACGGATTAGCACAAAGTTTTAATATTTGATGAGACCTATAGTCAATCCAATAATTATAATGAATCATGTCAACAAATTAAAGCCCTGTTTTGTAATCGTTTTAGTTGAGATGTGCCTAAGTTGTCCCAAATTGTTGAACCAAAAAAACAAAACAAAAAAATCTTCTTCATTTCAAACATCGGATTTCTTTTATGTAAGACATTTTTGGATATCCCATTTACTTGGCAAATTTTTTGTGTTAGGAGCGCCTTCATGCACAAATCATGACTAGTCTATATAATAAAGTAAATAGAAAATTTTGTCTTGAGTTTTTTGCGGCTTAGATCTCTTCATAATTATGATCCGACGACCCAAATTCCTCGTCCATTTTTTTTTCCACCCAAAAATTTCAAGAATCCTTTCATTTTAGGACTCTTATTTAACATCCATAAAAAAATGTAATACTAGAAATACTTTCATCTTAAATAATAGAAGGCACAAAAAAAAAATGCTGCATGTTAAAAATGTATTGGGTAATTTAATTTGCTATTTCTGGCACGTTTTGTTTGGGTTGGTTAATTGTGGTTGTGAACTCGGTCATTTTGTTTTGGAAAACAAAGAAAAATGACTCTTGATTAGGTGAACTAATTAAGGAGTTGTTCATTAAGGTTTAAGATGATTAATGCTCAGTTTGGTAGGAATGATAAAAAAATAAGAGGAAAATACGTTCTATTCTTCATAATAGAAGGAAAGTAAGAATGATACTGTTGAAATTTGACTCAAACTCTCTAATTGTCATGAGAGTTTGATGGACAACCAATGTGAGAATCCGATATGGAATAAGATTATATTAGAAGAGTTTTAATATACTATGAATTAGTACATTAGACATGTGATAGAAAATATAAATATTAAGTTGTATCTGAATAGATTTAAGATACATTATAAATAGGGTTAAATATTATGTAATCAGTTACCAGATGATTAGATTTTAATGAATAATATATCGATATAGATTCTTGGTCCGTAGATATAGGTTTAGTATGTCAAGGTGGGTATGCTGTATCAAACCACGTTATATATTTGTATCATGTTTTAATTGTTTTCTTATCTTTGATACCAATTTTCGTCCTTTGTATTTGGTAAAATAGATAGAAAATAAAAATGATTAATTTTTTTTTGTGCTTGGTAAGATAGAAAAATATATATTTTTTATTTTTATTTTTTAATTTTAATTTTTTAACAAAAAAATATATAAATACATATTTTATCATTATATTTATATATGAAATTAGTGTATACATAATAAGTGTATATATCAAATGATATATAGATAAATAAGATACATTTTAATACAAATAATTAATTTTTCATCTACTTTCCTTCTAATTTTGGAGGGATTGACTCTGGCGAGTTGATAAGAAAATTTTTTCATCTACTTTTTTATTTTTCCTATTTTCCTTTCTTATCAAAATGATATTTTATCTATTAATTCAATTTTTCATCTTTTTATTTTTCTATTGTACCAAACGGAGCATAATAGTCAAGACCTTCTAAGGTTGTGGAGGGCCTTTCAAGTAGTTTATCTTTCAATAATGTTATTTATAATTAATTTATTGATTTAATTCAATATAGCTATGACATGTTTGGTATGTGAGTTTTGATGGGATTTATATTGTGAAAATAATTTAATACACATTCTAAACCCGTAAGTAATTCAAGATTTGAGGTTTGAGATTGATAGGGTAAATAAATCTCGGCCTGACCCACTCTCACCCTATTTAGTAATAGTTGATTAAAACCCATAAAAGAGAGTTTGATGAAACCCAGGGGAACGGAGTTTTTTCCCATGGGTTTCAAAAGTGAGATTTAGATTTGTAGATAAAATATTTATAGATAAAAAGCCTATTTTACTTAAAAATTTATTCTTGTATTTACCTAATAATAGACATTTTAGAAAATTATGTAATATGATATGATATAAATTCATAGATCCCACATGTATTTATGTCATGTATCATACATGAGATTTAATAGGGTTTTAGTTTTTTTGAATCTCATTTACAAATCTTTGAGGCTCGGTTTAGATAGATTTCATAAATTCAATTCAAACCCCAAAAAATAAAAATCCAAACAAGTCATTAGTGGATTGACAGTGGCCCCATTTAGGGGTGGCAATCGAGTCGTGTTGTATCGGGTTCGTGTCGTGTCGAACATTAGTTGTATCGAACATTAGTCAATCCATACCCAACCCATTTAACTATTCGTTTCGTGTCGTGTCAAGTTGACCTGTTTATTTTCGTGTCGTGTTCGTGTTCATATTTGTGTTGACCTACATAAACTTTGAATAAAAAATTTAACGCTAAAATTTTATTTTCACTTAATTGAATCTCTTCTCATACTTTTTTTACAAACTAAAAATTAACTTTATATTAATAATAACAACAATAATGAGTAATAATATCTTTTTTATACAATAATTATGTCAGTACTTGATAAATAGTTACAAATAATTAATATTTTATTTATATAATAAATAATTAAATATATTTATCGTACATCATACAACCAAATTAAACATCAAAAGTAATAGAAAAAATAAGTCATCAAAACATGAAAACTCATACATGCAACAAAAATGTCAAGTCAATCTCCTTTGAATTAAAAATTTCGTGTTGATGGGTCAATTCGTGTTAAACGGGTTGACTCGAACACAACCCATTAACACTTCGTGTTATACTCGTGTCGTGTCATACGCGAGTCGTGTCAAAAAATTAGTCAACTCAAACTCATTTATTCGTGTATGGGGTTATCGTGTCGAATCAAAAATTCCCAACTCCCATCCAAAACGAAACTGTTGACTTTCAAAGTGCCGTGAAGTTGTCTTTTTTTTTTTTTTTTCTCTTGCTGTTCATTGTATCACGATCAAATTTGGATTTCCGTCTAATATAATTTTTGTCAATTCTTTTTATTTGAAAGTTTATTAATCTTATATTCATGGTAGAGATTAGAAATGTCAAAATATGACACAATTCTTTAACACAACACGAAATTAAAAGGGTTTGAATCTTTTTTAAGTTACCTGTTTTATAATCAATTGGACACGAAACAATACAATAAATAAAAGAATCGGATATGAATCAAGTCAATAAAAAAAAATACATAACATGACTTGTTTATACATCGGTTATATGTACAATACGAATTAAATATGACACGATTTGTTAGACATTAATTAATAAACAAATCGAATATGATGAATTATTTTTTTGACAAAAATCCACTAAGATCCAACATAAATCCATCTCGTCCGACATGATTGATAGCTCATATATATTTTGTATAAAATCACTTTCTAGAGAGGGCAAATAAGTACAAGTTCGTGCAATGTCCCTTTGAAAAAAATTGACTCAATAAGTAATTTTTAACTTTAAGAATTTTTTTAAATGGGCTGCTTTATGGTTTCACAGATCACGAGATCAAGCATATCTCACCTAAATCCCACATATAAAGTGGCAACTTTCTTAATCCGACATGAAATTGGTTGAATAATATTTTAGACAACGAAGTGGGAGCCATGGATTTTATCCGCAGGAGGAGAAGAGCATAGGTCCATATAGATATACATAGCTGATATGAAAGAAGCATTTATAATCGCTACGGATCTCATCCCTCCACTTAAATGATTCGGCTAACCTAGCGGCACCGAGCCCCAGTAGCCTTTACCTCTTTTGCCAATATGACTCTTTCCTAATGCAATCCCACATCGGAAGAAAGTAGTCTTCCCCCCTGCCATATAAGTGAACACTTCCTATGGAGGAGGTACCCACTAGGCACCTAATCATCGCTAGTGGGTACCTCCTCCATAGGAAGTGTTCACTTATATGACAGGGGGGAAGACCACTCTCTTCTGATGTGGGATTATCTTAGAAAATGGTCCTATTGGCGAATGCATGGTAGCTTCAAAGCCTTTTTAGGTTATAACCCACATTATATTTTTAATACTCACTCCATTAATTTTACAATCGCTATCTCATAGTCTCGGGTTCGTCGTCTCAATCTTTCTGATTCTCACTCCTTCCTTCCCGGCCGTCTTGCTGAACTTCTCCTTCCTTCCCGGCCGTCTTGCTGAACTTGAGCTTCTTATCGCAGTAGCATTTGCCTTTCCTACAGTGAGCTCCCCAAAATTTGCATTTGAATTCGCAAGTAAAGGGATTACATTTGTCTAGCACCACTCCTCCATCTCCATTAATTCTTGCTGCCTTTGAAAATGGTAAACCTGCATCCAGTATGATTCATTAGACACTTTCTAGTATCATAACAAATTCAATTGGAAAACATATATATACAAACACACACACTCACACATATATGAACAAAGTTCTTGAGACAATGTGTGGAATTATTTTGAGAAATTACGTTATTGTGACCATTGCATTAATTAATACCACAGGTCCCAACATTTAATGAAGGTTATTATCAATTTAATGGTCACAACCAAATTTTTTTTTTTTAGTTTTATTTTTGGGGGTGGGGGAGGGGGAAGGGGAAGGGAGAGGGAGAGGGCGATTTAAACCTCTGACCTCAAAAAGACAAAATCTTCATAAGGTAAAGAGTACCATTGGACCAAAAACCCGTTGGTATTTAGGACATTAAATTAAGTCTCTGAATTAATTAGGTACAAGTAGCATATTCAATTTATTCTTCTATCATATCATACTCTCATATAATACCGAAAAATAACTCTTCATACCATACTTAAAAATGACTCGCAGCATAGACAAGATATCTGTTTAGGTTATTTATAACCATTGATTATAAAAATAATTAACTAAAGTAAAGATCTATAGGAATATGAATTTCCTCCTGCTATGTTTTAATTGAATAAAAGAGTTGTGAACTCAAAATGCAACTTCTCAGTATCACAGTCTAACCTATGCCCTCTCTCTCACACACACTCATGTATATATATGCATATTTTGTGTGTGTGTGTGAGAGAGAGAGAGAGAGAGCGGAACCAGAAGCAGTAAGGAGGAGGAAAAACAAGAGGACTATCTGGAAGGAAGCCTTCTCCATGACTTATTACAGTTTAGCAGTAGAACTGTGCACTGAACAACTGAGCATTGTTGCACATTATTTATAATGGGAAAAAATGGTATATATTAATTAATGCCGTTTGCAATAGTCAGCAACACATTTAATTTCTTTTTAGCATTGAGCCAAGAGCCATTAGTATAATGTGATCCACTCATACGTTCCTATACGTCCGAATAGTAATCCACTCTGACTACTCATTTGTTTGATAACATTCACGGTCAATCCACTGGTTACGGTAAACTAAATCAACAAATTAAATCACAATAACATTGCTTTTACAAAAAAATCTCATTGACACCACGCTTGGAGTGTAACTTGGGTAAATCAGTCCGAATCGAACCCAACCTAAAATATTAAGGAGTTGCATAGAGATTTCTAGAATTATTGAGTTTGAGAAAAAAAATCTAATTTAAATTTGCACATGTGACTTGAAATCTCTGATATTTAGGTCCTAACCCGAATCTGTCTTGGATTCACTAATTCAAGTTTAATTCAAGCTAAAATCAAATTTCAACTCTAGTCGTATGACATGAGTTTAACCTAAATGGATCCCAAATTTCAGGTTGAATTTTCAATCCTAGAATTGAACTGGAATTTGTACAACATAATTAAATCTAAATTTCATCCCAAGTTGTGTAAAAATTCTTCCGATGATGTTCCATTGAAAGTTTGAGGTTGAGAGTTTTATTATGTGTTTTGAGTCTGGTTTTCACCTCTCAACCTAGTTAACTTGCCTGAGTTGAATTCACACCAAGTACAATGATTTGTATTTCTTTTAATCCTTCAGTATAATTAATCACCGAAAAATATAGTACTTGTTAGCCTCTAAGTAATGCTGGATCAAGGGGTATAATCATGTTTAATGCCTATTAGATTGAGGTTGAAGTTTGTTACTTCATGAAGTTTAAAATCTAACCCCAAGAGGTAAATGAAGCGGAAACATAGACAAATTGTACATTTATATGTTATGAATTTGAATTTTGGCAATTCCTTGGGGTTACGTAATGAAAAATTTATCTCTCAAAAATATCCTAGTCTTAGTATGTATGATCTGTCTTTGATTGGAATGAGGAGTAGATTAATTGAGGTGCGTGTAAATCGGCCCCGACAATCCTGATATTTAACATCCATAAAAAAATGTTATACTAGAAATACTTTCATCTTAAATAATAGAAGGCACATAAACAAAAACCTGGATACAATTGGATTGTGGAGGACAAAGCTTTGTATCAAAAGTTAAAAAACAAAGCTGAACTTTGGTTTTGCATTGTGATACCATATGATGATGCCTAAAGTAAATCCCAAGTGTTAGCTCAAGAGTTTAGCTCAGATCGGGAGGTCAGTCATATTAACTGAGGTCAGAGGGCAAGGGTTGAATGTCATTTGAGGCAAGACAACGGCTGGATAACCACGAGAGGTTCCTGAAGCGTTAGGAAGCTATAATCAAGGCACCTAATCTCAACCAACCAAGATCTTCTCCTAGAAATAAGAAGAACCCCATGAAATAAAGGCAAGAATCTCGGCCAAGATCCCACTGAATCGGGAACAGTTCTATAAATATTATGTAACGCCCCTAAAGAAAGGCAGAGGACCTTAGAGGCAAAAACTAGCAATTGTACTATGGTAATCATCATTATTGAAAGACAAGGAGCAAGAGTCTCCATTAAAGAGTGGATTAGCTAAGCTCCCAAGCTGGTGAACCACTATACTTCTTCTGTGTTAATCCTCCCAGCCCCTAGAAAAACATTTCTTTCATTATCACACCACCATCACTACAAAGCATAATAACGATTCATTACTCATACAATTCGGTTTACACCATCACCATACAATCTTGGACCAGATCTGAATCTGCCCCTTAGCTCTGAGAGTCTTCCAAGCTGACTGGGTGCTGAAACTGAGTCACTAGGTAACCATTTGACACTATCCTCTTTATTTGGGTTAGGTTGCATATTAGGAGGAATTTGATTCAAAAGTTCCCACACATGGTCATCAAATTATAGTATTCTCACTTTTTAAGATGCAAAATTACTAGTGAATTATGTTTACTCTTGTTTTTGCAAACATATCTTCTGTACTTGATAGTATATGACTAGCCCATTTAATAACTTGGGACGAAATTTAGATTTAATTATGTTTTTCAAATTCCTATTCACTTCTAGGATCAAAAATGCACCCTGAAATTCGGGTTTCATTTAGGTTGAACTCATGTCAGACGACTAAGGTTGAAATTTGGTTTCAATTTGAGTTAAATTTGAATTAGTAAATTTGGGACAGATTCGGGTTAGGATCCCAAAAATTAGAGATTCCAACTCGCATATTGTTCGATTTTAAATTAAATTTTTGCTCAAACTCAATAATTCTAGAAATCTCTATCCAACTCATGAATATTTTTAAGTTGGCGGTTCGATTCCAACTGATTAACCGAAGTTACACTCTTAGGTGGTATCTGATAAAATTAAAAGCTAAATGCTAAATTATCAGTGCGAAATGCTGACTTTTTAAATCCACTGACTGTTTGGTATCTGCTGAAATTTATATATTGAATTGAATCGATCTGTTTGACCAATATAAGGAGCGGAAGTTTAAAAATTATTATTATTCTAATTTTATCCTTCTTTTTAACCATCTTACCGTAATTATTTTATTCCTACTACCACCATTACAATGATGCTGGTGGTGGTGATGATGATGGTGACGATGACGACGGTGGTGATGGTGGTGGTGGTGGTAGTGATGGTGGTTGTGGTTGTGGCAGTGGCCCAATGGCAGCGATAATGGTGGTGGTGGCGGTGGCAGCGACACAATAATGGTAGTGGTGGAGCGCAGGTATTGAAAAGTTAAGAAAGCGAAATGTATTGAGGGTATATTTGTCTATTATGAGAAATTTATAAAATTCTCACTGGCTAACATTTTCAGTATTAGGTGATAAATAGGTGGCTTGTTACTTAAAATTTTAGCCTATTTTTAAGGAGTGCTTAAAATATTAAGTGGTATGAATTTTAAGTTATCAAACGGATTTAATTTATCAATTACTTAAAATATTCGATTTTAAATGTTAAATGGTGTTATCAAACAGCATCTGGTGTGAATGTGTTTCAATGAGATGTTTTATAAACAAGTGTGTAGTTAGAGTAGATAACTACTGAACGTATAGTGAAGGGGTTGCTCCCTTTATGACATGTGTAATAGCATTAAATAATCCCACGTGAAAGTGACAAGACTAGTCACATGAGAAAGACATCACTAAACTCAATCACTAGACAGCAACCGAGCTGTTCAAAAAGCTCGGGAAGGAAGAATGAGCTATGTCCTCATCATGACTGAGCTGTTTAAAATAGTGAACGTGGCGCTAAAGAGATGCCTACAATTCAGGCATTCTAGTTTGACGAATGAGCATAAACATAGGCTCGGCAGAAGGAATTAGAGAAATCTCAGTAACTTCTTGAACATAATCGCCTGATTAAGGGAAGATTTACCACCTTGAATCAAAAATATGAAAACCCTAACTGAAAAGGACTCTATAAAAGACATAAGGAGCCAATGTGAAAGGTACGCTGAACTTTCATTACCTTCTTGCAATTCAATCAATTCCATTACTAACTTAAGCATCAGAGTGCCTTCAATCGAAACACTTCGATCTTGGGCAGTTTGTTCATTTTGTAGGAAAGAAAGACTGGAAGATCAAGTTCAGAGCTCACTTATATCAAAGACATTAATCCTTCACTCCTATAGGAGGTACATCTGTTGTTTGCCTCTTATATTTTGGCGCCATCTGTGGGAAGATTTTTCATCAAATAGAACAAAAGGCCAATGTCGAGACTAAGAAGTGCCATTGGATCACCTGTACGCAGTTTTGCTATGTATGATTCTGATCCAAACTACAAAATATCATTCCCATCTGATAGTGACATTAGGATGGACATAGGCAAGAGCCCAGACAAGCCACTTGAGGATGACGAGTTATCCTCCGCAAGTTTGAAGCCATATAAGCACCAGAGTCAACAGGATGCTGATCGGGGAGAATTCCTTTGTACTAAGGGGGAGAACCCCGTTCTGGGAAAATTGGTTCAATCCCTACAAGACCGACTTGACACGCATGACAAATTGTTCAAAAAAATCCTACACCAGAGAGAGATCTGATGAAAGAAAACGAAGAATTACAATTTAAATTAAAGGAAA